TTGTTGTTGTTGTTAAGTGTCATCACCTTAGTTCTGACTCATAGCTAATTTGTATACGGCTTCTGAGGATCAGCTTGTGAATTTGAACTGCTGACCTCGTGGTCCAAATCAACCTTGCAGACCACAGCATTATCCCAAAATACCACACCACAGTTCCAGCATATTCTGTGTTGTTGTTGTTGTTGTTGTTAAGTGCCATCAAGTCAGTTCCAACTCATAGTGATCCTGTACAGGGTTTCCAAGGAGCAGCTAGTGATCTTGAATCTGCAACCTTGCAGTTCAAACCGATCTTGCGATTCAGCGCATTAACCCACAACACCACACCATATTCTATAGCGATCACTTCATTAATACTTAATCAAGACAAAGACCATCCTCCAGATCAGGGAAGCCATCAGCATGGTGAGTCCAATGAATCCAATGCCACAGGGCTCATTATAGATTATGGAAGAAAAAGGAAACAATCACGAAATCATGATTGGCTGTAGACCAATTCATTACTATACAGGCAGGACTATGGAAGCAAAAAAGACCCAACACTGAGCTGTGTGCACAATTGCAGATTGAAAAAGCTTTCAGGATTAGTGTGGGGATTTGACTATCAGGTTATAAGATAGTTGGGATAGGATTCATGACCACGCAGCATCGACAGTTTAACTGAGGAGAAAAAGGAAAGAGGTAGTAACTTTAATTGTGATGTTTAATTTTTTAAAAGACTCTGAAGTTTTGCATTTTACTTCACTTCATATTTATTAATACAAAGATGTGTGGATGATATAATATTATCTTTATATTTTAACTTGCTCATATTACATAATATAACTGCATTAAAATAATTGGGTACTTCTATTATCTTGTTACTGTATATCTGTAACGCTGTTGTTGTTAAGTGCCATCGAGTCTGTACCGACTCATAGCAACCCGATGTACAACAGAACAAAACACTGCCTGTCCTGGGCCAACTTAACAATTGTTGCCACACTTGAGCCCATTGATGATGCCACTTTGCCAATCCATCTC